AGAGACTTAGCAATACAGAAGGACATGGAGTATCTCTCAGAAGCAGTCTTTGTCTTTTACACCAAGCATCTTGATCAGTTCATTAGAGAGAACAACAAACTCTGGGGAGATTTCTGCAGGAGAAAGAAAGACCGTGATGGTAACATTTTGGATGCACTGGAGTTGAACACACATGGGTATGACATGACTATTCAAGGAATTACAGTTCCCATGAACAAGAGAACAGTCATCCCTGAACCTGAACGGCATTTCTCGTTTTCCACAAAGATGATGATCATGGCAATCGATCTGTATGAAGATGAAGCACCTGCTAGCTCAGCCATTTCACAGTTTTTGCTTTGAACAAGCTTCGACAATTTGTGGATAGCAGAAAGGAATTGACAGCTCAATCCTACAGATTCTTTGTTGAACATGCCTACAATCAATTCTTTCAGCATGAAGCATTTCATCAATCTGCAAGAGCAAGGACAAAGGTCAGGGAATGCGGTTCAGGTGACTTCCACACATCTACAAAGCTCGATGGCTACATCTGGGTAGCAGGAAAGGACAAGATTGCTCACATTCCAGAATCAGAGCAACAGAATGTGGACATGGAAGATCACGATGATGATGATGCTGAAGATGAACTGGAGTTTTTGCCAAGACTACAAGTTTTTGTCAGGAAAGAGGAGGAAAAGGCATCAGGCTCTCAGGAAAGAGAGGAAGAAGGTGTATGCTCTCAAGAAAGAGAGGAAACACAACCACAACAAGAAGATGAGGTATTACCAGATGCAAATCCTCGAAGAAATCTGGAAGATCGACAGGGACTGTTTTTAGTCAGGCAACTCAAACCAGAGCACAGACAGATCCTCCATGATATTACACTCGCAGGCCAATCAATCCTCACAGGAGATGATCTTGAAGGAGGTCAACCCCTTGGACGTGGTGACATAAGCTTCTTCTCATTATGGTTGATGATGTCGGCATTATCAGATGCTTCTTTTTCAACATGTATGGAGCAGTATGCACCTATGATGGGTTATGAGATCTCTTACGACAAGTATCATGAGTTCAAACTGGATATTGACCAAGTTCTCAAGGAGAATGAACACCTTGGCGCAGAAAATTTCTTTGGAGCAGAGGATCCTGATTTAGTGGACGATGATCCAGACACTCCTCTTCCAGATCTTCAAAGACCAGGCGCGGGTGATCCTGAGTACAAGCATACTATTGAAAGTTTGAACATTGAGGACAAGCATATCATTTTGGAAACTGATGATGACAAATTGGTTGAGTGTACATTGAAGTGGATCAGCATGTGCAACAAGAATGTTCAACAAAAGATCAAGGACAGTTTTGTCAAACAAGAAGAACGACAAGAGGAAGAAGAGAAAGAAGAGGATGAAGATGAGGAGATTGCTGTCGAAGAAAAAGAAGAAGAAAAAGACACACAGGAGCCACATGTCCCAGCTGAAGGCTCTTCAGAGAAAGAGGAATCAGCTCCACCTGAACGCTCCTCAGAAAAGGAGGAATCAGGGGAGAAGAAAACAGACATTCAAGATGATGAGACAGCTCCTGAAGTGAAACCTGCAATTCGACTTTACTATGGTCAAGATATCACTGGAAACGAAGATGATTCAGTTTTTCGAAAATTGAAGGATTGTTTTTCAGATGGTTACCATGGTGAATGGGCAGGATTTTACAACAAAGGTTATCCAGCGTCTTCGAAGCATCGACACATGTTTTGGCATGTCAAGTACAGGAAGACCATGTCTCCACATCAAGATTATTGGTACCATCTTACAGATGACCAGTTGATGATTGAGTACATTGCCAGACACAAGGATCAAAATCCACAACTAGAATTACAAGAACTCAATCAGCGCATTGAATATGGTTGTAGTGATCCTAGGATGCATCCTCTTCATCAAGACAAAGCAGAAAGATCCTCAAAAGAAGCAGAAAAGAGGATTGATGACGATTTTGGAAATCTCACAAGGGTACTCCAAGATTACGTTGAGGACCACAAGGTCTTGCCTTACTGTAGGATCTTGCATAGCTTGGCTTACAGGTATTTAGGTGGAGGCCTATCAGACCCAACATACAAGGATGCCGAATTTCCATACAGATCCTCTCCACAGATAACAGCAATGTTTTGGAATTTGGGAAACTGGTGCAGAAACAGATTTGAAAAATGCCCGGTTCCAGAAAGATTTCAACAATTCATTCCACACATTGACTACACTATCGATGAGGATCATGAAAAATTTGATGAAACCAAATCACAGTTCAACAATTACTTCATCAATGTCATCAAGAACTTTGGAGGACATCTTTTCATGAATTGCGAGGCTGGTTCATTGTATCCTCACAGAGAAAGACTCGACGAGGTTGACTTTAAAACTTGCTTCAACGACTATCATGACTTGATGGTGGCAGCTCGCCTTGGAAAGGATGGCTATATCAAGCAAATTGCTGGATATCACACAGATGACAACGACACACGAGTTCGACAAGTCTCATGGGCAATCTCTGAAGTATCTTGGGGAAAGACAAAGGATCGAGATACAGATGAGATTGTTGACTTGACAAGAGCTAGGATGAGGATGACACGTGTGTGCGTTTATCACGTCGGACAGAAGTATGCATCAGACTCTGCTGGGATTGTTGGTGAGTGCTTAGCTGTTATGGTTTTTGAGTGTGCCAGATATCAAGTTGACTTTATCGCAGGTGATGGAAACAAGGCATGCTATTACAGCACACCAAAATCTCCAGGTGTCCCTACATACCAACACAGCCTTATCCAATTCTGGATCAACAGAATGGTAGGTGTTGCAACACAAGCCATGCGCAAGTATTTTGATTCATCTTGCCCTCCAATCAGGGTCAAGCATTTCATTTCTTGCAGTTATCGTGACTTGGATTTTCTTGCAACGCACTTGGATGGCATTACAACAGCAACATACACCGACGAGCTCATGAACAAGACAAATGGTAAAGGTGATTGTTGTATGTTAACAGTTGTTGAGTGGGGTCATTCACGTTTGATGTGTGAGGAACACCCAGAAGACTTTGAGGATGAAGATCACATGAACTATGTGGGTGAATTTTACTTCAAGGTAAATGAAACTTGCTTACATGGTGATCACAACATCTTCATGGTTGCCCCAAATGATCGTGATGCTCACAATCCAATTCTTATCCATCTTGATCCTTCTGATATGTCATGGAATGAACGACATCATTACAAACAGGCCTACAAGAAGAAGCAGTATGCAGATACAAGAAAGGAAAGACAGAAGGAGAAAAAGAGAAAAGCATATGAAGATCAAGCATCAACGTATCAGGGCAACACAGAGTGGGGTGGATCCTCATCTTCTTCGTCCAGACCATGGAGATCAAGCTTTTGGCTATGAGTGAGTGTATACTTCTTTAAATGAAGATAACACAGCATGAGAGGCCGTGTACAGTTTTTCTGTGCATCAACTTATTTCACACAGATGGCATATACTCTTTTAGATAGAGATAATGCCACAAGTGTCTGAACTTCAATTTAATGTAAAATAGATACTCTTGTAAATAGAGATACTATACACATTTATCTCCATGAACTTTCTGCGAGCAGACCACTCCGAATGGAGCGAACTCCAAAAATTACCAACTTCGATTTCAGTCCATTGTTTGCTTGAATGAGCAACTTTGGAGATCCGCTATTTCCGTTTATTTCGTGATTTGGTCAATTGTTTTTCGTATGACCTGAATTTCTGAATCTTGCAAACCCGAACTTTTCAATTCGAACCTTCACCGGTAGAGCGAGGCATTTTGCCTATGGAGAGACCGTGCGCGAAGCACCATTGGTCACTACTGGAAAAATTAGCGAATCCGCTGTTCTTTTTCGACATGTCCTTAGGACATTCGCTGCTTTCACGTGTTTTTCAATTCGAAGCCACTGCGTAACTCCGGTTTCTTTTGCTATTTGCCATTGTGTAGAGAAGTCAGGAAGATACTCTTAATACCAATTGGGTACGGCAAGGCGTAGTGCTCTACTCATTGCTTTTGAATTTGTGCCAGTGTTTTGTTTCGACCTAATACCTACATAGGTACATGCATGAGTATTGAGCACATTTATATGCGCCCTTCAAGGCTCAAGAGGTATATAGAGTAACCCTGTAGACAAGCACGGACCGGCAACAGGCTGAGTAAAACAAGTGCTGTCATTGGGGAAGACGCCTTAGCTGATCTTGAAGTAGACGCTAGGGCCCCTCTTCACCCACTCCCCCCACCCCCCCCCCCACACAAGCAAACAGCCAGGCGACCTGTGGTCCCGCCAGCCACTATATATATATATTATTAATAGCTATATATAATCTGGTTGGTGGTATACCTACCCCTCTGAAAAATATGATTTCGTCAGTTGGGATGATGACATTCCCTATGAAAAGTCATAGCATAAAACATATTCCAAACCACCAACCAGTAATACATGTATATGTATTCTCCCCAGTTCATGCCATTGTCTCACCACTAATTATCCCATGACATCCCAACTAATATCCCATTAAAATACATGCATTAAATTCCGCTCTTGATCGTTTTCTGGTTGGTTCCCAGCTGCCAAAAGCTGAAAAAACCTAGTGGTTTTGTGTAAACTATCACCAAAAACAAGTGAAAGTCTAAGGGAATGGCTGGAAACCACAATAATTTGGTGCTAAAAATCCTACAATATCTACAATGTGGTGCCCCCTTAAACGAAATCGCCAAGTTGGTTCATAGCTCCAAAAACTATGGTTTATTGCACTTATGACTATAGTTACTGGGGATTATCAACCAACTTAGAACAACTTATAACTGCAGTTAAGGCCCTTTACCAGTTATAAGTACTTATAACCCCATTTATAGAATGTATAATCCCATTTATAATCAGTTATAGCTAATAAATGGCCATAACTGTGGGGGGGCCACCGCATTGTATGTTTCACGATGGCACGTGTCACCCCCTTGTTGTCACAATAAGAGCCGGCCTGGTCTGGAGAGATCGTCGCCCAGCTGCCACAGCAAGCTGCCACGGAAGCCCAACCTTGGTCGCTCAAGAGGGGGAATAGCCCACTTGAATTACCCTCTGGTAATGACTAACATAGCTATGGAAAATGGCACATAGAAATAGTCGATTTACCTATGAAAAATGGTGATTTTCCATAGCTGTGTTAGTTTACCAGAGGGTATTTTAATCAATAAAAAACAAAACAGAACCATTTCAAGAGGATGAGTCACTTCATTTCAATTTTTGATATATAGTTGATCATTAAATGATTTTTTGCGCATGTTTTTTAAATGATGTTTAATGTAAAAAAACAGATGAAGTGCACACTGCCAGTTTTATTTTTAAAATCCCTTGATCCACTATGGTTGGTTCAAAATTCAAACTAGTTCGAAAAAATATCTCCAGAATCAAATGGGAGAAGTTACACTTTTGGTCCGAAAAACCAGTTAGTACTGAAATAACCCCATTTATAGAATGTATAATCCCATGTCAAAAAACAGTTATAACTAATTAAACACAGTTATGGCCCAACTAACAGTTATACATGGGATTATTTCATGATGTATAACCAACCAGTTATAACTAATAGCCATGGCCATAACTGTCTAAACCCCCTGGCACGTCTGCCAAAAAAATCAGATCGCTGTCGTGTTGGAACAGCACCGGCATCGGGGCATCGGCTCTGGGATGCCCGGCTTGGACATGGCCCAGAAAATGTTGGCCAATTGCTTCGGCTCCAAGTGCAGGTCGTTCATCTCTCGACGGCGACCTCGGTGCAGTTAAGGCCCGAAATACCAGTTATAAGTACTTATAACCCCATTTATAGAATGTATAGTCCCATTTATAACAAGTTATAACTAATACGAGTACATGGCCATAACTGTGGAGGTTCTGAACAAAGTAGGGCCCCCATGGCCACGAAATCGCGACAAGTTGGTTTGAAACCAAAGAAAAATAGGGATAGAAAACCACGACAAGTTGGGAATTTAATGGGATTAAACACTGATTGTTGATAGCTAAGTTGGGGTTCACATAACTCCAATTTCACTATGGTGTATTAATGGTACTTATAACGAACTTATAAACCAACTTATAACTGCGGGGGGGCCATATTGCACAACTGAGTAGGCAACATACATGGTCAATCTTCATGGTAATCCACAAAAACTGCTGGGTATGAAAAAGATTCCATTTACAGCCAAGAACTAAAGGATTATATCCGCCGACCCCGGCCTTCGCCAAGGCCGGGGCGGCGCCTGGGACCACCGCAGGTGGGAAACTTGTCCTGTCGGACCACCCTCCAAAACCCTCCAAACCCTCCAAAACCCTCCAAACACTCTCCAAAACCGTCCAAACCCTCCAAACACCTTCCCCAGCAGGCACCCCAGGGCCAAGGCCACTTCCCCAACAGGCACCCCAGGGCCAAGGCCACAGCAATGGCTTTCTATGGGCTTTCAAAGCTGCCGTTTGCCCGCCTGCAAACGCTCCAAACCTTCCAAAACCTTCCAAACCCTCCAAACCCTCCAAAACCTTCCAAACCCTCCAAACACCGTCCCCAGCAGGCACCCCAGGGCCAAGGCCACAGCAATGGCTTTCTATTGGCTTTCAAAGCTGCCGTTTGCCAGCCGGCAAACGCTCCAAACGCTCCAAAACCCTCCAAAACCGTCCAAACCTTCAAACACCCTCCAAAACCATCCAAACCCTCCAAAACCCTCCAAACACCTTCCCCAACAGGCACCCCAGGGCCAAGGCCATTTCTCAAACAAGCACCCCAGGGCCAAGGCCACAGCAATGGCTTTCTATTGGCTTTCAAAGCTGCCGTTTGCCAGCGCAAACACTCCAAACGCTCCAAAACCCTCCAAACCCTCCAAAACCCTCCAAACACCCTCCAAGGCCACAGCAATTGCTTTCTGAAGCTTTCAAAGCTGCCGTTTGCCAGCCCGCAAACACTCCAAACGCTCCAAAACCCTCCAAAGCCTCCAAACCCTCCAAAGCCTCCAAACCATCCAAAACCCTCCAAACCTTCCAAATACCCTCCAAAACCCTCCAAACCCTCCAAAACCGTCCAAACCCTCCAAACACCCTCCAAAACCCTCCAAACCCTCCAAACCCTCCAAAACCTTCCAAACCCTCCAAACACCTCCAAACCCTCCAAACCCTCCAAACACCTTCCCCAGCAGGCACCCCAGGGCCAAGGCCACTTCTCAAACAAGCACCCAAGGGCCAAGGCCACAGCAATGGCTGCCGTTTGCCAGCCCGCAAACACTCCAAACGCTCTAAAACCCTCCAAACCCTCCAAAACCCTCCAAACCCTCCAAACACCCTCCAAAACCCTCCAAAACCCTCCAAACCCTCCAAAACCCTCCAAACCCTCCAAACACCCTCCAAACCCTCCAAACACCTTCCCCAACAGGCACCCCAGGGCCAATGCCACTTCTCAAACAAGCACCCCAGGGCCAAGGCCACAGCAGTGGCTTTCTATTGGCTTTCAAAGCTGCCGTTTGCCAGTCCGCAAACACTCCAAACGCTCCAAAACCCTCCAAAACCCTCCAAACCTTCCAAACACCCTCCAAAACCCTCCAAACCCTCCAAACCCTCCAAAACCTTCCAAACCTTCCAAACACCACCCGAAACCCTCCAAACCCTCCAAAACCTTCCAAACCCTCCAACCACCTTCCCCAGCAGGCACCCCAGGGCCAAGGCCACTTCCCTAACAGGCACCCCAGGGCCAAGGCCACTTCTCAAACAGGCACCCCAGGGCCAAGGCCACAGCAATGGCTTTCTATGTGCTTTCAAAGCTGCCGTTTGCCCACCCGCAAACGCTCCAAACCTTCCAAAACCTTCCAAACCCTCCAAACCCTCCAAAACCTTCCAAACCCTCCAAACACCGTCCCCAGCAGGCACCCCGGGGCCAAGGCCACTTCCCGAACAGGCACCCCAGGGCCAAGGCCACAGCAATTGCTTTCTGAGGCTTTCAAAGCTGCTGTTTGCCAGTCCGCAAACGCTCCAAACGCTCCAAAACCCTCCAAACCCTCCAAAACCATCCAAACCCTCCAAACACCATCCCAAACCCTCGAAACCCTCCAAACCCTCTAAAACCTTCCAAACCCTCCAACCCCCTTCAAAACCCTGCAAACCCTCCAAAACCCTCCAAACCCTCTAAACACCTTCCCCAACAGGCACCCCAGGGCCAAGGGCACTTCTCAATCAGGCACCCCAGGGCCAAGGCCACAGCAATGGCTTTCTATTGGCTTTCAAAGCTGCCGTTTGCCAGCCCGCAAACACTCCAAACGCCCCAAAACCCTCCAAACCCTCCAAAACCCTCCAAACCCTCCAAACACCCTCCAAAACCCTCCAAACCCTCCAAACCCTCCAAAACCTTCCAAACCCTCCAAACACCCTCCAAAACCCTCCAAACCCTCCAAAACCCTCCAAACCCTCCAAACACCCTCCCCAGCAGGCACCCCAGGGCCAAGGCCACTTCCCCAACAGGCATCCATCTCTCCCTCTCCCTCTCCCTCTCCCTCTCCCTCTCCCTCTCTGTCTCTCTCTCTCTCTCTCTCTCTCTCTCCCCACAGTGCCCCCCAAATAGAGGGGGGTCGGCGGGTCGGCGGCACCTGGGCGCTAGCCCATTCTATAAACAATATGCCCATCCAAGCTTGGGGATGCATATATATATATATTTATTTATTTGTTTATTTATTTGAAGTATGGGAAGGATACTGGTAAAACATGCTGAACATATCCATTAATCACACCTTACAGCTTGGGAGGTGCGTCAGCTGGTGGAGTCGCGAACATTTTCGGATCCAAGTTCTTGACATCGGGGAAATCATCAGTGTCCGGCTGACGTGCTTGCACCTTTTCAACAGTGAAGGCAGATCCTGTGGGAAGGATGTGGCGTCTTGACTGCCCAAACACAAGCTGCGTGATCTCGGCAATGCGCTCCTGGCACGACTCAGGCAAGGTGTCCAACACAAAGTTCACATTCCTCCTGAGATGCTCGTACGATTCCTGCGGGAGCTCCATCAACTCAGTGCCAACCCTACTGACGTTCCACCCGCAGTCGACGGCAAACATTGTTGCCGTCCAGTACGCAGAGAGCCTGACGCGGTTCTCCTCGGAATTGACAAAGTGCCAAGAGAAGTAATGAGAGTTGCTACTCAAAAGGTGCAGTACCCATAGTACCACCGAAATTCAGCCTAGAGGTTTATGAATGCAGGGTTGCCATGATATACCGTAGTCGAGTTCCACGACCTGATTGCTACGACTAGCAAGGCCAAAAAGAATCCCTCGGGGAAGACATTGATTGTTGCCTTCTTTGGGTGGAAGATATTTGCAGCAGCAAGAACAATTGTGAAACATTGTCAAACATATGTTCTATACATCTTCTGTTTCCTAGATCTATGAGTCTATTTCCATGAAAGAGTTTTTGGTGGTCGCGAGTCAGAAAACTGTACCCTAACAAGTTTGCCTTGCACCCTACCGAGGTGGGTGCCTAACTGCACAACTGACCTTTTCTGAACACCAGCCGGTGGGTCTGGTTTGAGAAGCTCGCTTACCATCGGCCTCATTCCCCGTATGACCGGCAGAACGAGTGGATCTTTTGCTAAGAAACTTTTGCAACCGAATTGGGGTCTCAGGATCTAGATCATGGGCCATAGATCATCCAAATTTAAGTCTGATTTAACGGGTAATTCCCTTTCACCCCTTCATGCTCTTGGTAAGTTTCCTGAAATTAATAGAAACTATTTGCCAGCAATTGTTTTCACAAATTTCAAGGGTTTTCCCCTTATTATTTCAATATAAAATTTACTACAATTTTACTATGGACCTTAAATGGCGAACTGGATTGAAATGGTGGTCTTGGACCTCCAAAATAAAAGATGCCATGTGTTTGAGGCTTGGATTCGGTTGATACAAAATGAATGTGAATCATATATGTATTTTTTTTTAGTCGATACTTTGGTCCTGATTAGGGTGTCTCTTCAGGCAGCAAATTGTGCTTGACCTTGGTTGAATATAATATTAAAGAAAGGCGCTTATCAGGGAACTTCTTCGCCAAGCGCATTTTAGTTGATGTTTGTAATGGGGCGACGCTACAGACTGGACATGATTGGACAATTGACTTCTTAGGGAAGGAATTTGATTCTTATTAGTATTTTTAGGAACCTCTTCGGCGAGCACATGCTGATTTACCTTCGTATGCCGATATTGTGGATTAACTTTGCCTGGTTTTGGTCCAAGTGCTGCTTTCAGATTCCAGGTCCGGTGTGCGCAGGCCTCTCCTGTATAACAAATGTCGCACTTGTACTATCTTGTACTAATTAAAAACATACAGTTTTACTTCCCAGGGAGTTCTAACTATAGGGAGCACTAGGATATGAAGAAATACATGGCTCAATTCAGACCTAAAAGTGATGTCCCCAAATCAAAGTCAGCTGCCCCATAATCGACTGCAAAAGTTTTAAGTATAATGGGTATCCACTTACAGCCAAACCCATAGGATCCATGTATGCTATATATGGTAACATTTACCATCAATATACCCCAAATGTTAACATATATATATATACCAGCACCATGGATCCTATGGGAAACATTGCCATTCAATGTTGGGTGTTCTTAAACCCCAACCTCGCACGGTTGTTTCAATACTGAAATACTAAACGCGGTCAAATTTTGGATGCTTTGGGGCCTTGGGGATACTCCCATTTCGGGAATCCTCCTGACATGGTCCTTTTACGAAAAGGGTCCTTTGCGTGTTTTGGATTTATTTGGTATCACCTATTAAGGTTGGTTTTCATGAGGAGAACCCCTACTAACCAATGGGAAAAGAACATCTACAAGGTGGTGCCCTGACGCTTATGTTCCTTGATTTATAAACCATATGAAGACTGTACTTTTCTGTAATTATAATTACCATAAACCCTACAAAGTGGCCCTTTGTAGATAGCTAAGTTGGTTTATAACGCGGTTGACTCGGGCAAATTGGCACTTCCAGCTCTAGTTCGATGTTTTTTTGACCAACAAACAAAACTCAATAGGGCCTCAGCTTGTAGGTATATCATGCTATATCTACAAGGTGGTGCCCCCCCAGGTATAAGTTGGTTTAGAATCCCATTAACTATAGATATATCTACCATAAGTCCTAGTGAAATTAGAGCTATGTTCACCAACTTAGCTATCGACGGGGGGCACCACATTGTAGACTTTAACAACACAAACATCTCCAAGTGGGGCACATTGTGTCATTCCCAACAGACCTACCATGACACACGTGGTGATTCGAAGTGCTGCCAGTGCTTGCTGGTTTATAAATCCAACTTATGGAACTTATGGTTACATGAAATCTAATATGTTTATGGTGCTTGTGTAATTAATTGTTTATCTAACTGTAGTTTGAAACATCCAGAAAAACACACAAAACTGGGTTATAAATTATAAACCAACTGGTATATATATATATATATATCTTTGGGCACCGCCTTCTATGTTAGATGAAAAATCAGATGTTGACTGTTGACCTACCACGTTTAACCCCCCAAAAAAATGCGTTTCCCAGTCGACTCAGCTGAGGTGCTCATCTCCTTGTGTAGGGCTGAGAACCAGATCTCGTCTTCATGGCTGACAGTCGCCAGTGCCCACGAAATGTTGGCCAAGTGCTGACCTGAAATAGATGACCCAAAAAGGCATCCCCCTTCATTAAAAAAAAATCCCAGTGAAAATGGGCACTGGATTTTCCAAATCTGGTTTTTGGGTCAACTACTATTAAAAAATATCAACATATAACATGTATATATATATAATGTATATGTATATACATACACATACTAGCCACAAAAAATGTGAAGACTCCTTACTGGAATGATCCGGGAGTAGGCTATGATGACCCAACATGGGGTACTATTTTGGACCCAGAAAATTGATCAGGTCTTCTATCCTACCCTCCGTTTTTTTTGGAAAAAAAGCTAGCCATTCACAAATTGCTACAAGATCTACCCTCTGGTAAACTAACATAATTATGGAAAATCACCACTGTTAATAGGTAAATCAACTATAAATGGACCATTTTCAGTAGTTATGTTAGTATACCAGAGGGTACTCCTAATCATGGCAAATCTTAGATACCCTGCAAAAATAAATTCTTAGCTGGTTAGTAGATCATCCCATTGATACCAAAAGACGAAAGGATTAAACTACCCATCTAAGATTGACCTGGTAATATTGTCTAATCATGATAGTAGGGATTGTTTTACCGCAACCTTTGAGTCGTTACCAGTATTCTTGTCATCACCAACGAGTAGGGCCACACCAGTTATGTTTGTTTTTTTTTGGTGCCAGTAACTATAGCTATATCCTCCAAAAACCATAATTAACCAAGTCATAAGTCAACTTAGCTATCGATTGGGTTTTCTTAATCAACTTATCACTGAGGATGGTTATTTCAAAATTTAAACCATACTTGGGGTTTTGTAAAACAAGGCTACCCCAATAGCTGGATGGTGAATGTCAAGGAAAATCCACCCCCCAAACAAGGATGATAACTGTGGTACCCACATTTTAGGAAACCTCCAGTTCACTTAGTTAGGTCAACTTAGCTATCGTGAACGGTGGGCCCACCTTGTCCTTTTTGTGATCCTTTGCGAGATTCCGTTTCATCATGTTTCTTCGGGCAAACTGGGGCGGTTTTACCACAAAAGGTTGCCTTTGAGACATGGAGTCAAGCACATGTAGGATCATGGACATTTATGGAACAGTTGCCTTCCTGCAGTGCAAAGTCTTTGATTGGTCTTTCAGGTTCTACTGCGGCGACAATTCCCAAATTCCACAAAGGTCCACATGAAGGTCCACAAGAACTTCAAAGCCATTCAAACTCATCATCACCAGTAGGATACTGATTGGTTCTTCAACAAATGGGAAAACAACAGGTTTCCATGGGTAAATCTAGGTCATTCAACCATAAATGCGCCATTTTCAAAAAATATATGTGAAACTACCGGAAAGTATTTCTTTTGGCCTCCGTCCTTTCGGTGTCAACCTGTCAACTCAAATGCATAGCCAAGTTACATCGTATCTAACAGGTGAGGCCCCCCCAGTTATCAATTGGTTTCTAAACCCCATCAAGTAATGATGGTTATATCATGTTCGCCCCAAACCGGACGTTGCTCCACACTTACAATCGTCATGATGATGATGATGAACATCATCATCACATCATCACATCAAAACATAATGATTGTCATACATTAAAATTCGCCACCCCCTATGAACAATTTGTTGGCTGGGGCAATAACATCAACTTTATCTTCATGAGGGATCAAAATTCGCCAGCTGGTGATGGAGGAGTATGGGTCTCTTCAGAAGAAGATTGTTGATCTCCCAATTGGTCTGGTCCTAAGCTATTTTCTTCCGTTGGTGCCGGGCTAGTGTTATGTGTAAACACAGATCCCCTTACCCCTTGAGGTCCTCTATACTGGTTGTAATCGTCCCAAGTGGATCGATCGCGATATGGACGGAAAGTGTTGGCAAAATGAACAAAGATCTGATCAGCTGTGCAGTACTGTCGAAGCGCTCGGAACACACGTATTGTCCAGATGAGCTCAGGATCAACAGTTTCGTACCAAAAGGTATGAGAGCCAGAACCCTTGCGTCTCTTTGTACAGCCAGTTTGAGAAGAGATCAAAATCACGTTGCCAACTACGGATGAGTTCTCCGGTCCTCTTGGCCCTTCCACCTCGCACTCCACGAACTCTGGGCGGGCGCGATGAGATGCGGCTGCAATATTTTGATTGGGGTATTAACATCAACTTTATCTTCATCAAGGATCAAAATTTGCCATCTCCTGTGAACAATATGTTGGTTGGGGTAATAACATCAACTTTATCTTCATAAGGGATCAAACTCCGCCACACCCTATGAACAATATGTTGTTTGGGGTAATAACATCAACTTTATCTTCATATCCACCTGAAGTCAGACGCGGCGCAACGTCAGGGTCGCAGCGATGATATCATGTTTAATATCTAGCCCATAGCCATAAACCATAATTAACCATAATTAACCAAGTTATTTGCATC